GGAGGAGGTGGAGGAGGAGGAGGAAGAGGGAGAGAAGGGAGAGAGAGAGAGAAAAAAAAACCACCAAAAGGAATTTATTGCATGCTATGAATACATTGTCTTATTAGTTTAAAATGTAATTTTTAAGCATAATCCTTTTTTAATTCCTTTTTTCCCCCCAAATAAAATCTAGGTTCCCACAAGAGACCAGCTGGCCTTTGGATTTGAGCAGAATTTGCAACCGATTATAAAGTCAAAGATCAATGTCTAACAAAGATCAAGTCAGCCTGGAAATCTTGTCTTTTTGTGAGCCGCGTAGGCAGCTTTCCTGATAACGTGCCCTTGCTCTCTGCTGGCATTTTGAAGGTGTTCTGCATCTGAAAAGCGCCTGCAATCTGATTTTCCTCTCAAGGCTCAGGCAGGGTGCAGGAGCACTTTCCATCCGACCTTTCTAGCATGGTTCACCAACTCTGGACTCACTGCGCAGATCCAGAGCAAGACGGGTTCCAGTGCTTCCAGAGGTGCATCATCTTTAGCTTTCCATCACCTCTGCCTTCTCCCTATTTCTACAGCACAGTATTTCTATCTTCTCACTCGTTTTTCAAGTTTCCCCTGTGACAAGCATTGTTTTAAGAAAAATAAAGTTTTTCTTTTTTTTATTTGTTCATTTTAGTTATACATGACAGTAGAGTGTGTTTTGACATATCATACCTACATGGAGTACAACTTCCCATTCTTGTGGTTGTACATCATGTGGAGTTACACTGGTCATGTGTTCATATATGAACACAGGAAAGTTATGTCCAATTCATTCTACTGTCTTTCCTATTTCCATCCCCCCTTCCTCCCATTACCCCCCTGTCCAATATGATGAACCTCCACTCCCCACCTTCCCCACCCCCCACCCAAGCCTATTGTGAGTCAACATCTGCACATCAGAGAGAACATTCAGGCTTTGGTTTTTTTTGGGATTGGCTTATTTCACTTAGCATGATAGTCTCCAGTTCCATCCATTTACCTGCAAATACCATACTCTTCTTTATGGATGAGTAATATCCCGTTGTGTATATACCACATTTCCTTTATCCATTCATCTATTGAAGAGCACCTAGGTTGGTTCCATAGTTAGCTACTGTAAATTGAGCTGCTGTGAACACTGATATGGCCGAGTCATAGGATGCTCTTTTTAAGTCCTTTGGGCATACCACGAGGAGTGGGATAACTGGGTCAAATGATGTTTCCATTTGAAGTTTTCTAAGGAATCTCCACACTGCTTTCCAGAGTGGTTGCACCGATTTGCAGTCCCACCAGCAATGTATGAGTATACCTTTCTCCCCACATCCTCGCCAACATTGATTATTACTTGATAATTGCCATTCTTACTGAAGTGAGATGAAAATCTCGGTGTAGTTTTAATTTGAATAAGATTTTTAATTATAAGAGTTTGCACTCCAGTTCCTTCTAAGGAGGGAGGATTTGGGGTTGACGGATCAGCTGGGCACAAGGAGGAAACGGCCCTTCTCCCTAGTGCTATTCAGTTGGTGGCAAGTCCCAGGACTTACAAAAAAGACAGGAAAGATGGACCTAGGACCAGCATCTCAGAGCACTCACTTTTTACCAAAACACTCAGCCGGACCCCCTTTCCAGGCCACCTATGCTTCTTCAGGTTCCCTGGCAGCACCACTACTGGTTAGCCCCAGGCCCTTGGATCTACTGACCCCAACTCTAGAATCAAGAGCCCAGCACTTCCCATGAAAGCCATGTGATGATATAAAAAAAAACATACTTTCCTAATAGCAAATGTCTGAAATCTTCCTAGGGAAGCCAGCCTCTAAAAAATACCCAGATGAACTTCGAGAGGGCAGAGGGGAGAGGCTCCAGGAGAAGAACCAAAGGGGATGGATGGTTGAAGGAAGGAGAGGAGAAAGGAGGCCAAGGCAGAGGGAAGACCTGGGGAGAGAGAAACCAGACAGCCATTGAGAGGTGAGTCCCAGGCACCAGGCTAAAGAGAATTTCTAAGAGCAAGATGCCCAGTGGCAACTATGAGTGTGAAACCCTTCTACACATCCCACCCTTCTCCCAACACACACACACACACACACACACACACACACACGGATACAATACATTCACTCATGCCTTGAGCTCTTTTTTGGTGAATGGTCTCAGTCTCCTACCTGGGGTGAGATGCAGAGGCAGATCAAGATTTCACGGAACCTAAAGCTCATGCATTGGTGAGATCTCCATCAAAGAAAAAGAATATAAAGATGTCAAACTTGGGCACAGCTTACAAAAACAATATGACCCACAGGAGCGCTTTGCCAAGGCCTCCCATCCGTGAGTGGCCCTGGAGTGACAGCCTCATTATCTTCCCATAAATCTTCCTCTGAACCAATATGACCAGGGGAAAGCCAGGCCCCACCTGGAAATTCTCAGGAATCTCAGAAGGGGGCTTTGGGCTGTCATGCTCCGCGTGCACTGGGGGAGTTCAAGCCAAGCTGACCTGGACCGTCTGGCCTGGCTGGGTACAAGTGACAGCTGGCTCATCATCATTTTCCCAATCTCAACAGCAAAGGATTATCTCCGAGGAAAGACCCAGGAGAAGGAGAAGCTAAGCAGCTGTTGCCATGCTGGGAGGGTAACTCTGAGAATTCATGTTTACAGAGGGGCTGACAGAAAGATGACCGGAGGCCTGCAGGGTGACATCGGCCTGTTTTTTAGCAGCTCTTACTGTCTTATTGGAAAATTGCTATGGAGAGATCCCCTGCCCTCTCCTCCCTCCAGCACACATGGTCAGATCTTTGCTCCACTCTGATTACCCTCGTTTTGGAGTTCAGGAAAAAAGCTAATCAGAGGGCTAACATGGCACAAGCTTTCTTCAAGTGCCATTTAGACTCCAGCCGGTTGAAGGGAATCATCGGGTGTGTGATATTAAGGAAGCATTTCCAAGTAATTAAGGCGGGAAGGTGCGGGCTCAGTATCCAGGAATGGGAGAGTGGCTGGGGGTGGTCTGCAGAAAGGGGGACACAGCTCATCTTGATCAGATCCCTCTGCACACCAACTAACCAGGACAGCCAGCTTCTTTCATTCTGACCACATGTCCAGCAGTGTTTCCTACAATTCTTGAGAATACCCACCATCTGAGATGGGTGTATTAGTTCCCCACTGCTGCTGTAACAAAACTATCACAGATTTAGTGGCTTAAAACAACACAAATTATTTTTCTTAACATCCTGGATATCAGAAGGGAACACGAGTCTCTCTGGGCTTAAAGCATCAGCAGGGCTGTGTCCCCTCTGGAGGCTCCAAGGGAGAATTTGTTTTCTCGCCCTTTCCAGCTTCCAGAAGCCAACCGCATTCCTCTGGAAAGCCATCCTGCAAGTGGGCGACATCATGTTCCTGTGGCACGTGGTCTCCTGCCTTCCTCTTCCATGTTTAGGGGCCCTTGTGATTAGGTTCATCCCCCTCGAATCATCTGGAATAATCTCTTTGAAGTCAGCTGATTCGCGACCTTGGCTCCTCTTTGCCCTAGAGTCTCACATACTCACATGTTCGGGGGATTCGGGGACTAGGATGTGGACACTTTTAGGGCTGTTATTCTGCTTGTTATGATACCGGCAGTGGGTTGCTGTCTCATCTTCCTGGAAGGTAGAGTTAAACTAGCCTCTCCTGGGACACTTGTTGGCCCCTTGACCTAGAAAGCAAGGAGAAGCCTTGATTGACTGTCCCTGCAGAGCCACTCCAGAGGACAGGGTGGGGTTCCCCAAAGGAGAGCCCAATAAAGGATAATGGGAATGGATGCCAGCAACATCACCCCTGCACATCTTACACAGCCTCCCCAATCCAGGCCCCTCCTCCAAAACATTGGCATTCCCAGATTCCTTCTATTTTTAGTGCAGAATTCAATTCTTAACTATTGCCATGAATTGATGTAATTAAGAAAAAATAAAACAAGAAAAAGGAAGGCTTCATGCTCCTTGTGCTTATGAGAGGGAAATATTTTATTTATGTTTCATTACAGAGCCCACCAAGTTTGGTCCAGATGGAACTTTTTTTTTTTTTAAATATTTTTTAGTTGCCAATGGACCTTTATTTAATTTATTTATATGCAGTGCTGAGGATTGAACCCAATGCCTCACAAATGCTTGGCAAAAGCTCTACCCCTGAGCCACAACCCCAGCCCCCAGATGGGACTCTTAACATAGCAGCCTCTTGTGGAGTCAATCTGGAGAAAAAGGAACTAGAATGTGCTTGGCTGTGACAAAGGTCAATCTGGCTTAGCTCCATACTTTATGATCTGAGAGGTTAAGTGACCTACTCAAGGTCATGCAGCAATGCAGAGGCAATACCAGTACCAACTCCTTCCAGTGAACAACCTTGCTCTGTAGGGTTGCAAGTGCCTTATAGAGAGTAGGGCCTTCCCTTATATGTCAGGTACAGCTTTGCCCCCATCATGGAGGAGGTTGCAGATGGCAGCAATATGGAGCGTGCAATATGAAAGCCAGCACTTGGGCCCATGGAGCTGGGTTAACCGCGTGTGGGGTTTGCACACAGGCAAGCTAGAGCCAAGCTGGGGGGTCCCAAGTCAGACCCACTGTCTTCAGAGTCAGTGTCTCTTATGGTTTAAAAAAGGAGAGAAAGAGATAGAAAAGAGGAACCCCTCCAGACTCTAATCTTACTAAACAAGGCAAATCCTTTGTTGTTATAGAATCAAACCCAAATCTGTCTTACAAAAGACCAAAGGAAGAGACAAAGTTCGGTACATTCTTTTTTCCTTAAACACTTGAAAGGGAAAGGATTTCATTCTTTAGCAGGAGAAATAAGTAAAATAAGTATCCCTCTAACATCAAGAATTCAGAAGCATGGCTTGTCCCCATGTACCCAGAACCAGAGGGCAGGTGGGCGTGTTTCAGGGTGTGGTTGACAGGTCATTTGGGCAGAGTCCCTGAGCCCCACCTACAACCCTTGAGCTTAACTGTCTTGCTCCAAAGTAGAGGGACTCTAAACCTGATCTCTAGGCTGTTCTTTCTTTCCCAGGTCACAGAGTCCACCAAATGTCACAGACTGGGGCTTATACCTAAGACTGGCTACTTAAGGCACCATGTCCATCAACTGATAATAATGGGTTAGAGACAGTGCTGAGACTCCAATGGGACCAACCAGTGTCCTTTCCTGGAATTGCAAGGGCTTTGGGAGAAAGATGGACCCCCTCACGGTGGTTTCAATACAAGCCCACAAATCCTTTGTGACACTCCACCCTTAGAACGATAGCCTGTGTAGCCCACCGTGCTCTTCTTGAATCTGGGCGGAATTGTAACTGCTTGGACGGCAGAATATGATGGAAGTCAAATCATTTGACATTTGAGGCTCCAGTCTTAAACATCTTGTGGCCTCTACTTTGCTGAAACACTCGCTCTCAGAGCCCTAAAGCCCTGAACCACAGGCTGAAGGAGGGAGGGAAAGAGACCTTCAGTCATTTGTCATGCTGTTCATGGTGACAGACATAGAGTGAATAAGCACTTAGGTGAAACCAGCCCTCGGCTACTTGAGTCTTCCCAACTGTCGGCTCTTAAGGGCATGTCCGCCCCCAGCCCCTACAGGAATATTTTGAAGCCCTGGTGCCCGTGTGATCAGTGTGACTGGTATGATCCTGTTTGAAGATGCAGCCTTAAGAACATAAGGGTTAGATTAGGTCATAAGAGTAGGGCCCTCATTTCCTATTGGTATGCAATTCAGACCACAGCATTTGTTATGCAGTAATAGGACAAGAACACTCCCTTCCAGAACGTGGGTACTGAGGACCATTAGGGACCTTGAGTTGCCAAATATGCTATCAACGAAGAAGTGGAAAGTAAGAAAGAGCCAGCCTAGGAAATAAGCTGGCAGGGAGATAGTGAGAGAGAAGAGGAAAGATCCAATCCTATTGGAAGGTACCATTCAAACCTTTGGATCAAGCTGGACCAAATCTCCCCCTCGACTCTTCAGTTACAGGAGTCTATAAATTCCTTTATTTGGGGAAAAAAATGTTGTTGTTGTAGATGGACAGAATGCCTTTATTTTATTTGTTTATTTTGTGTGGTGCTAAGGATCAAACCCAGTGCCTGACACATGCTAGGTAAGTGCTCTGCCACAGTTACAGCCCCAACCTAAAAAAATTAAGCCAGTGTGATTGGTTTATGTCCCCTGGGATTGTGACTAGGACAAAGAGATAAGAAGGATAAAAAGGAGCAGTGAAGAAATGGAAGATGGGGCTGGGAAATGGCCCAGGGGTAGAGCCATTGCCTAGCCTTTGTAAGGCCCTGAGTTCAATCCCCAGCACTGAAAAAAAAGAAAGAAATGGAAAATGGGGAAACAGAACAGACATATCCCATTTTCCACATAAATGTAAATGCTATGTATAGCAGACACTGTTGGTTGCCTACTTAACACCCATCTCCATCCTTCTCCTTCCTTAACAGAACCTTAGGATTTTGCAGGAGCCACCTTTGCCAATGATTCAGAGGAAGGTGATTTCATTGAATTCAGAGTGGTTCCAAGCTAATCAAATTGTCTCATACCCCTTGCCAGTGATTGGCTTGGGAGGAAGTCTGCCTCCAGTAGATGTGAGGGGCAATCTCTGGGAGGAGCCATTGCAAAAAGCTTCCTTCTTTCCACAAGGAGATTTCCAGGTGAGTTGGGCCTCTCCACATCTGAACAATACTGATCGGAATGTAAAATCCAGTGTATTAGTCAGCTTTTTGTCCCTGTGACAAAATATCCCAAAATAGGATACGTGTGAAGAAAAAAGGTCTATTTAACTCAGTTTGGGAGGCTCAAAGGCATGTGCCTTCATTGACTCAGCTCTGGTGAGGACCTCATGAAAAATGGTGGCAGCAACGTCTCAGTTTGAACATGTCGCGTGTTCAATCGTCACTGTGGCTCATGGACAGTGCAGGTCTGCAGACTCAAATTTGGAACCTCTGATCTTTTTTTCCAACTTTATGACATTGAGAAAATGATTTTTCTGTTCTGAGCCTCGCTGTCTCCATCTATGCAATGCTGTTCACAATAGCCCACCTCACGACAAGTGTTTTACTTACTTAGTTTCTTTCTAATCCAAACTGGGTTCTTGTTCCCTCTCACAGTCATGAGAACAATAAAAAAAAAAAAAAAAAAAAAAAAAAAACAAGGACCAATTATGCAGTGAAAGAATGTTTATTGTTTGGCTTGAGAATAAGGAAAAGCCCAGAGAAATAACTCGAAAATTAGCTTCTTACCTGAACAAAGGATGAAGGTTCTTTTAAGAGTAAACAGGAAGAAATCTTAAGAGTAGTTTTGATTTGCATTTCTCTAATTACTAGAGATATTGAACATTTTTTCATATATTTGTGGATCAAATATATATCTCCTGAGAAATGTTTGTTCTGCTCCTTAGCCCATTTATTGATTGGATTGTTTGTGTTTTGGTGTTAAGTTTTTTGAGTTCTCTATATATCCTGGAGATGAAGATTTCATCTCACACCAGTCAGAGTGGCAGTTATCAAAATCACAGACAACAATAAATGTTGGCGAAGATGTGGGGGAAAAGGCACACTCATTCATTCCTGGTGGGACCACAAATTGGTGCAACCACTCTGGAAAGCAGTATGGAAATTCCTTAGAAAACTTGGAATGGAACCACCATTTG